ATTCCTATCCTTAACGAAGTAGGCAAACAATGCTGCCGCACGGTTGAATTGCTGTACGCAACATGGACAGCCGATGCACATTCGGACGACACCGCTCAAGATGCCGCCCCGTGCGGCTTCCACTACGTGGCTATTGATCAGTGACAAGCATACGGACAAAATAGTGCAATGTAATATTTCCTCACACTAAAATGTTATAAACGCTGCGATATCTGGTGAAATTATTTTCAGCACAAAATTACGCTAACGATTGGGGTTTTTTATGTAGCCTGCTTGGCAACGGACAGTCGCACAGAGTGCACGCAGCCGACCGCGTAGATGTGCAATTCGGCTGGGCGACAGCTTTGTTTGCTTTCTTTATTAAAGCGTGCGGTCATCATTTGCGAGTGGTTGATTAGGCTCCGCTCCTATACGCTAGTATTTAGCTTGCCATGATACGGTACATATTTGTATATTCAGTGTTGCGTACATACTGTATAGTGTATATCAAACAACAACAAGTGGAATTTTTATGCCGTACAACGGCTGTTATCCTCAGGGGCCCGTTTGGCCTACTGCGCTGCAACTCAGGGATGCTGGTCGGCCCGTCCACTTGTTGTTGGCACCACTTTTCTCTGCAAGTGACTAATCTTGTTAGACTGCGGTAATCCAATTACTGGAAACGCTTTCGCCATATGAGACAATACTAATCACTCAGCTGGAGTGATTGCACGAGACTTAGTCTAAGTACATCTATAATAGGATTGCGCATCGTTGCTTGCGCAGCGTTGATTATAGTTGCCTGCTCAGATTACGGACCAAGGTACATTTCTCGCACTCAGTAATTCAGTACAAATCTGAATTTGTTTGTGAAAATCTACTATAATATTCCTGAGAAAATAATCACATCTGCAACGGTCCATAGGATTTGACAAACCTTACACGATTTAAAAGAATACATGGTACTATCAGTACGAGTATTGCTTACTAATTAGTACATAGCGTACACCTTCTCACACTGATATTTCCCTTATTAATAATTGGATTTTCTGGAAAACTTAAGATATGATAAATGGGAACGCTATGCGTTTAGGTATGCCACTAGCAGACACAAAGTTGCTAGTATCAGCACAACGTTGCTAACAAGTACTGCATGGAGCGCAGTTTTCGCACACATGATGCAGAGTGCTGGCTGTGTGTACGTTTGTATCTCAGCAGGGCACAGTTTCCGGGTCCAAATTCAGAAAATTCTTATCTTTTGCAGGAAACTAGCAAATACCCATAGTGAAATTAAAAAAAATAATTTCATGTGCTGAAACTCACGGGCGTGACCAGAAAAAATAAAATGAACACCATAACGCTACATGCAATTATTACAATGCATTGCACAGGCTGTTTATGTAGTCGTCGACCGAACGGTATTGTACAAATTCGAAATGCTTAAAAACTTATTGCACGTGCAGAAGACGTCGCCCAGAATAACGTTTACAGTACGTACTAAAAAAAATAGATAACAGGTACGAGACTACGAGTAAACTAATATAGCAGCGAAAGGAACGGCAGACATATGGACAATATAGTATTTCTGATATTTTATAAATTAGCAAACAAAACTTGTCTCTTAGTCTCTCAAAGCACGGGTACGCATTATAGTAAACCTAAAAATTATAGTTATCAAAAGGAAGTCAGCTAATCAAAACAAACCAGCATGAAAATGTGTTCGAATAGGCCGACACCTGCTGAACTATTGTATCTGCAGTCTGTTTTTTATAAATTTGCAATGGTTGGCGGTAAGAGTTGCACATGAAATTAATTTTGGAGGATTTCACAGTCGTTCAGTACTCGTACCTTTTAGCAAAAAAAAGAATTTATTTCTGAATTATAAGTATTATTACAGTGCGAAAAAAGTCTGCACTAGTACTGCAATATCGTATTGTAATAGTATGTAGTAATATGATATTCATTTATTTTTACTGGCCACGCCCTTGAGTCTCAGCAGATGAAATTATTTTTTTTTAATTATACTATGGGTATTTGCTAGTTTCCTGCAAAAGAAGGGAATTTTCTGAATTTGGACCCGGAAAATGTGTCCTGGTGGGTGAATGTTCTGTTTCAAAAACAGGGTATCGGTATAAAAGAATAAGATCTGCTTACAATGTATTCAATAATCAAACCTGGACACCGAGATCGGCACAAAACTTTATATAATAAAAAGCTGGAAACGCTATTAGATTCAGCATGTTTGAGAAAACTGCCACTATACATTTTATTTCTCAAAAAAATTTACATGCATACACATGCATTTTATTTGATAAAAAACCATCCGTGCGGCCGATGTCGGTTTTGTTTCCCCGGCTTTCGGTGGGGGTTTTCAAGGAATCCTTGAAAATTATTAGAGGCTTTTTGTAGTTGCTTAGTACTACGAGTACTACAGGTTTATTCAATATGTATTTCGTTTTGGTCACTTTAAGGGCGCATTTTCACATTTTGTTCAACTGGTGCTTAAATTTCCGGACAAACAAGGATGCCAGAAATGAATGGTTTTACGAGTATAAAAACTTTGCTCATGAATTTCGAAGCATAAACAAGAGAAAATTTCCATAAAAACTAAACGAAGAGCATAAGTTGCACAGGGTGCAATCACTGCAATGTAAAGAACCGCTCTTCCACGTTTTGCAATTGCAACTGTTAGGTTGTTAACATAGCAGATCTCTCAAACAGTAGCAAATTCTCGTACGGCTACGTTCGGTTTCTGCATACAACTCCTATGGCGCTTACGGTAAAAATCATCGGATTGATCGTACCGTATACCGTATACAACAGTACCGCGCACGGTTAGCTCATTCTGAAACCATGTTGTTTTTTTTTTGGCTTACGGTTTCGTACGGCACTTTCGTATCAGTATCAGTTTTCACTACGGCTACGTACTGTTGTGAAACAGCAGCCGTATACGACAGTACAGTATACTGTTTGGGGGGCTCTAATTCTATAACACAGAAGCCGAGTACAGTAACGATTCGTACGGAAAATTAGCGGATGATTGCGCGGGCGGTCTACAAATGCATTCTGCATCAGTTTAATTCGTATGCGTAGATCGTATTTAAGTACAGTACCATTTTATATTCAAACAGAAGAAAACATTCCGGTCAAGGAAAGTGACCCACTGCATGGTACTAAAATTCGCGTATTTGCACTTTCACTTTTGCGCGCTCCCATACGTTTTGCTTTATTTTGGGAACTTACATTACCACACTTCCACATTTAAACTGGTGCTAGGTTTACATTCCGATTCCGTAATTTGTGTAATTCAGTGACACGCAATTAGCTAAATGGCGCCAAATACGCGTTCCATTCCCATCATGAATGCCGGTGTAACCTCACAACTGCGATAATTATGACATTCCAACGTCTCACTGGCGCCACAAATGCATTCCAACGGCCAGGTGTGCATTCCATCCCCATCCTTACCGTAATTTAATGATGTGCAACTAGTTGCCTGGCACCAAGCATGCATTCCGTTAGCATCATTAATGTCGGTGTAATCTTAAATCTGCGATAATTACCACATTCCAACGGCCAGGTGTGCATTCCATTCTCATCATTACCGTAATCTAATGATGTGCAATTAGCTGACTGGCGCCGAGCATGCATTCCGTTAGCATCATTAATGTCGGTGTAATCTTACATCTGCGATAATTACCACATTCCAACGGCCAGGTGTGCATTCCATTCCCCATCATTACCGTAATCTAATGATGTGCAATTAGGTGAATGGCGCCAAGCACGCTTTTTGTTCCCATCAATAATGTCGGTGTGACCTTACATCTGCGATAATTACCACATTCCAACGGCCAGGTGTGCATTCTATTCCCGTCATTACTGTAATCTAATGATCTGCGATTAGCTGACTGGCGCCAAACATTCATTCGTTTCCCATCGACAAACACCTGCGATGCTTGAGAATTGCACACTAAACATGTTGGAAAGTTAAGAGTGTCGTACCAAAACATGTAAGGAAGTCAAGAATATTATACATATCTTGTGGGAAAGCATAAAATGTCGTGTCACATATGCAGGCAACATAGGAATGTTGCGTCAAATATGCAACAAAGTTGGAATTGTCATGTCAAACATGCAAGAAAGTTGGAAATGTTATACTTATCTTGTGGGGAAAGCATAAAATGTTGTGTCACATATGCAAGAAAGTTGGGAATGTCACGGGAAACATGCAGGAAAGTTGGATTGTTACGCTAAAATATGCAGGGAAGTTGTGAATGTCACGGCAAACATGCAACAAAGTTGGAAATGTTATGCCAAACATGCAAAAAAGTTGGGATTATCACGTCAAGCATATGCGAAAGTTGGTTTGCCTTTCAAAAAGAATGTGCAGCAAATGCGATATTTGCTTCATTTGCTTGTGCGGAAATCGGAGTTTTACAAAACAATTTGATTGAAACCAAAAACTCCCAAAAGTGAATACGAAATACTACCGAAAATTTATGAAAATGTATGTTAAGTCAATGGGAATCCCAAAACAAAAATCTTCGTTTTTTCATTCTGAAAAACTACAAGTTTTCGCAGCAAAATGATGCAAAATGGAAGTTTTTCATATCATCTTCCCGTAGTTTTCACAAATGTTTTGATTTGAATACGAGTTCGGTGAACTGAACGCGCATCATCTCATCGCTTTTGCTACCCATACTTCCGATTTTGGTATCTCACATTATTCTTCCATTACATTCGATGCAGTACCTTGCGCTTCCGATATGTGCTCAACGTTTCTTCATCTTTTCGGTGTGCTTTCATACAGCACATATATATTATCAGTAAAGCTTCTGTTTCAGCGACGAATGCCCAAAGCCATAACGACTTCAACCTGGCCGCAGACAAGCTAAAGCCGGTACAGATTTGGTGCATTCGCCCTCTATTTTTCTTGCTTTTTTTATGTAAATGTTTTTTTTTTGGCTTTTATTATATGCTAAAAGTTACAAACTGCAAAATCATACTAAAGGAATTAATTTGCGGAACTGCGACACTTGCTCCAGCGACATCATGTCCATGCGCATCCCTTCGAATATGGGCCGCTAGCTGTCAAAAACGAAAAAATAGTGCGAAACTTTTTTATACAAGTACAGAACGGGCACACTAACTTACTCCTTGCGAGTTCCAAACGGTAAAGTACTATAATCGTCCATTAGCATCCGTTTATCGTATACTCGTCTGAGAGTTTTCGTCAGCTGAACGGTGCTAATTTCATGAGTGTTGACATTTCTCTTGATTGTTTCGGGATATACAACGCGCAGCGTTTGGTCATCATTTTCCAAGAGCGATTTCCAAAGGCTGTAGTCCATACTCTGACCTGTCTGAACCAGTCCTTCCCCAGAATTGGTCAGGATATTCTCCGTATATCCATTTTGAGTGAAGCCTTTAATTTTGCTTTCTACCCTTCCTGTATCTGTTTCGTAGTAATAAACTTTGGGCCCCAGAGAAATAAACTTGACAATATGACTCTCTCCCGATTCTAACTGGTTGCTCCATTCTCCAAGCATCGTACCTGTTGGTGGCTGCCACTCACCTGACCGCTGAACAAAAATAACGGAATCAGTGTCGAAATAAAGTACTCGTTCTCCTAACAGCTCCAGCATTTCCAAAAGTTTCAGCCGTGCATAACTTGTAGTAAAGGCAGCGATAGGGATATTAGCAGTGCACGATCCTTCTAAGTAGTCGTCGATTTTGGAAATAGTTGCCATGACACATTCAGGATTGAAGATATGGACATTGTGAATCCATGTAGATTTTGATACAAGAAGGTCATAATAGTCTTTCGGCTTGAAGAAAATTTTTGTCTGATGAAGATTGTCATTTTGTCCAAATTTACCCCAGAATGAGTTCAGCATTAGCTTTGCAACAGCCTTTCGTCCGGGATTGTCTTCAATTTGTGAAAAGTCCAGTTCAATACCCTCCACGTCCTTCACTTTTCTCACAAATTCTATCCGCTCACACTCTGTGGCGCAGTTACTCGGCCACCCGCTTGCCTGAATTTTTTCTTTGAGGAATGTATTAACAAAGTCTTCGAACAATTTTTCTTTCCGCGCTTCCCAATGCCAAACTTCATGAACAGCAACAACTTTATATCCTTGTAAAATTGCATGTTGCAATTCGGGAGTAGTCCACACACCTTCCAGCAATCGTTCCTTGCCGCTATGGGTGCAAAAATCGTTTTGCCGATGCTCTGCACATTTGCGGCAGAGCGCGAAGATTAACTTGCCGTTTATAGTTGCAGGCAAAACAGGAAACAAGCAATGTCCCGGTGCAAGCACTGTACACTTTACAAATCCAAAATATTCGCTTACATCCTTAAAATCTGCTGTTATAAGTTTCGGATGCCCGATGGGATACACGCAGTTCTTGTTAACGTAAGGATACAGAGAGACGATATCGAAGTGATGGATCTTCTCATTCGGGCCGCATTCGTAAAGTAGCTTGTTTGCGTTAGTACGACCGCCTTTAAATGCTTCTTTTGGTTGGAGAGGACTGCGTAGGGACATGTCGCTCATATACTCCCGAATGTTTGGAACCTTCAACTGCTCGCGCCACTGGCATGACCACATTTCCACAAAGTTGAAGCCCCGAGCCTTTATGGAACAAACTTTGATCTGATATTCTTCGTAAACTTCTTGCATAGTCTTGTTTGATAAAGGTGAACGGTCAGTTGCGTTGGTACAGTCCGGGTGTCCATGAAAACGCATCCATTGTATTCGTAAACCGTGTTAGTAAATCGATCGTAGCCGTCCACAAAATACTCATTGATGCGTTTTTCTTTTCCATTCCGTCCATGCTCGATTCGGCAATCCGCTTGAGTTTTGTTGACCCAGGTCAGCCACTGTGTTGCTTCCATGCTGGTGATTCTGTTAGTTTGATAACCGTGTGCTGAAATGACTCTGATTTCTTCCTTGCGGAGATTAAAAGTTCGAAAAAATTTCAAGCACGCTGAAGCAATGGTTACGGATTTGAAAGGATCAATGCACGCTAGAGCCATAAAATCATCTCGGAATTTAAGAGCACATTTCCGGAGAACTGACACGTCCATTGAACAGTAGCTGCTTAACTGTTGCCGAAAGTCGAAAACGCCGTTGCTTCTTGTTTTCTCGTCTTTATACCATTTAAGAAATTCAACTTTTTTGGTGGCACACATTGCTTCAATACCGTAAGAAGACGGGTTCGGGAAGGGAATAATTTTATCCCAGTTTTCCGGCTGATTAATTTTGTGAGGGAAGTCACCTTTCTTCTCATCAGATTTAAGGCCGACAGCTTTAGGAAATTTAGACAAAGGCAACTGCACAAAGTTGAGAGTGTCCACTGCGTTGATAGACAAAGCCTTGTATCGAATATTCAGCAGCTGACTACCACGGCAGAGAATGTCTGGCTTCAAGTTATTGTCTATCATGTGGGCCAAAATGAAATGTCCATCGTATCCTCGCAGATTATGCGCAATTATCGTATAGCCTCGATGCTCTTCGCGAAAAAGCCATGTGCAGAAGTTGGAGATGACGTCATAATCTAGTAGAGGAGTACCGTCAGGAGGGAAACGAAATTCATCTCCGCACGAATACTGCGCGACGACGTAGTTTGGAATGTGAGTACCATCTGCCGAAGTGTAAGTTTCAAAATCAAAGAAAATGTACTTCGGATTTTCATTTAATTCTTCTGGTTCAAGCGGTTGGAGATAGCACCTGTGTGATTCCTGGGGCATCCAGTCTTTGCATGTTGAGCAATACATTTCGTCGCAGCAATGAACCTGACCCGGGCGATTGAGCATATTCACGAATTTGTTACAATTTGGGCAGACAAAAAGATCTTCACAGAGTGTCCTTCCATTTTTCCGTAAAGCCTTATGAACCTCGAAGCATTCTTTGTTGGTGAAAGTTCGTCCACAATCGGGGCATAACTTCGGGTCATCGACTTTGCAATCACTTTTACTGCGATAACACATGGCACATCTTTGTTCACATCGATGGTCTGTCTTACGGACATATCCTTGATCGCAGTCTGTGCAGTAGTAACTCTTCATATGGTATCCAGAAGGTTTCGTTATAAGATCAAAATGATTTTTATCGTACATTAGGTAAATCTGCTTCATTCCCGGTTTCTTCTTCTCCGGCACTTGCGCGATAAGAGTGTTTCCTCTTGCACGGAAATAACTTTGACTTGACACTTTAAAACGCGTTGAAAAGCCGGCAAATCTTCCAGCCCAAACATTTTTCCAATAGTAAGATCAGCATCTTGGACCAGCTGACACGCGAGTTTTTCCAACTTACGCCCTCTAGGATTAATCAAAGCTTTCCATTTCATCTTGTCTTTGCCGCTGACATCGTGAGTGTTCTTGAAATGGCCGAGCGCCAATGCTGCAGGTAAGCAAAGATTGTTTCCTGTTGTTACTGTAACAACGGACAAACTGAATCTTTTTCGGTCAATCGTTGTATGAATATGTTTTCTTTTCATTCCTCCAGCCGGTATTACGGTCCGAACAATGGTAATTTCGAAACTGTCGTCGATACAGAACGAGTTGCTGGAATTAATCATAATCATCATATCCATGAGATCGTCGATCTTGAAATCTTGAAGCTTTTTCATATGAAGATCGACTTTGCGATTAAGTGTACGACTGGAGAGAAGGATCACAATCCTATCGTCGAGTCCGAATTCTTTAGTGATTACTTTGAATATGGCTTTAAAGACTTCGGGCATTGCTTCCATAGAGGTAACAGGGTCGAATTGTTGATTAAGGTTTTCGATTTTGATCTGATACGTGATTTCCGATGTCGAGAATTTCTTTGTTTGCTTTTCGCTGATCTTTTCCAGGGCGAAGTACTTTGTCCAGTCTACAGATTTCTGTCCTCTTGATCCACCGCTTTGTACCGTATTAGCCTCCCGATATTCGCGAATGAGCTTCTGCTTCCCGTACAGATTGGCAATTGCATCAAGAGAAAGCACATGTTCTGCCCTCTCCGGCCAGTTCTCATGCAACCATTGTTGCAGAAACTCGGCATAAAAACGCAAAACTGTGCCCAAGTTAAACATTTTTTTGCTTACCTGCGATGAGTAATCCGTAAACGTAATCCGTAGGCGCAACTGGTAATAAACTCGGTATTCGAGATAACACACAAAGGCTTAAAAACAGAGAAGAAACTTTAGGAAACGAACAATCAATGATGGAAAACGGAATACGATGCGTGCTATATACACTTACTCTATGGTTCAAGCTTGACTTCTACTGTAGCTTTCTTACAGTTCTCTATGGGAAAACGTGTAGTCAAAGTCGCCAAAGGACAGAACATGCAGTTTGTTGGATGGCATTAGAGACTCCAGTGCAAGTGTACAGATGAGTACGGCAACTTACATGTTGAAGGATTGCACAGATAAAGATGCAGCTGTCTGCAGCAATTTCTAGACTTCGAGGCACGAAGGACAGCGTATGCACGTTTGTGTGTGGTTAGATGTTTCAGAATCTGACAGGGCGCAGGTGGGAACTGTGTGCAAGCTTCACGATAGTTAGGTACGTCATAAACCACTTGAGAAAACGACATGGAGAAACGTTCAGATGTTTGGGAAACCTACGCATTGTGTGACATTTATAGATGCCCCACACCTGCAGATAGTCAGATGTATGTCAGAGGCATGCCAGAAACAGCACAGATCCGAGTGCAAAATTAACAAAACGCGGACATCAACAATGATAACATTAAAATAAAACCCTTTCAAACGTGCAAACGATCTTTGCAGTTTCCAGCAAAACAACTTTCATAATGATAGCACACGATCACGCACGTTAATCCAGTTGTAGTGCTGCAGATATAATTCCTTAGATGGTGACTTACAGAAGTGAAAACTAAGAATGATGACTTGGAAAGTTTGACCTGTGCACTTGATCACAAGTCACTGCACATCTGGTTTAAAGTGGCATCGTAATATAATGTCAGCCAATACACTGTTGTACGCGGTGCATTATGGGCGGTATACAGATCAAACCGACCAATACGCTATTGTACACAGTACATGGACTGTACGCTATTCGTACACACCATCAGATCAGGCTGATTTGTACGCTATTTGTATATACAGTACAGTGTACAGACCATATTCCGCTATTTGTATACCCTAGACTATAGGGGGCGGTACTTAGGCTAAACCGACCAATAGGAGAGCCCGCTATGTGTACTACCATCAAACCGCTGGTTCTACTACTTCTCTTCTACTGGTCAGTGGAATGAAAGCAAACACCGAAAGACAATAGATTTTGGTCACACATAAGTGTGGTAGGAAGCTGACAATCGCCTGTCTGGATAGTCTCCTTGGTTTGATACATGTGGTGGGCTGTAACAGTCAGCATGTACATGACTGATGTAAACTTGCATGAACTTTCAAAGGTACCCGTTTAAAAAGCGGTCGATAAGCTTTGAAACGTAACTAGTCATTTGAGGAGCACATTTTTTATTACAAAAATCACACAGTCGGTGGGTGAACATCTCAAAAGTTTAACTGCGAGAGCGATTTTGAAAAAATTAAGTTTTACCGAAGTTGTTGCTGAAAGAAGCAACTAGAAAAGTGTTTATCGCTCTTTACAACTTTAAAATTTTGTTTTTTCAAAAAAGCTCTCGCAAGGTGCTGGGGGTTTTTATTGTACACTTTGTGACTAGACTTCCCCAAATCTCCCCTGAGTGTGTTCGGACTAGTTAGTTTTTTGGGGTGGTAACTTTGAGACCGATTTTAAAGTGACTCGTTCGGTTTATGTCTGGGTTTGTTAGTACTGAATTTTTCTTGGATTTAACTATGTAAGTAGGTAGATTGAGAAACTGTTTAAGTTTTTGAATAACTATAAATGTTGCCCTTTCTAAACGAATTAAGTCAACATAGCCATAGCCTTAATAAACCCGTACGTATGTTTAGTAATATCATGATACACTTTACATAAGTTAATCGAAACACGGACTGTCTGCTTGTACTTACAGTACATAACTTGCAAAGATCACTAACGTGATGATGACTAACGTAAGTTACATGGATTTTTATTTTGTATTGTACTCGTACTTATTCTTAACTAGCAGCTCAGATATTTCTGCTGTTTCGGTCAAGTTGTATTAGAACAGTGTGCATTTCTTACTGCGTCCATGGTAACAAGCTTATGATTGACCACTGGACCTAGACAAATGATTTTGGCAAAAAGTCGACAATCTTGGATCCACCGCTGCACTTAGAGAATTTTGATGTACTTTAAAGCAACAAAATTGGTGAAGTAGAAGCCGAGATCCTTTGCCTCAAAGGAGAGGGCCGAAGTCCTGGCACAGATAATCAGTATTCATATAATTAGAATTGCCAAGGGAACAGAGTAAGCATAGACAGTAAAAACTAGTTGTGCCGTGGAAGAGCCGTGCCGTGCCGTGCCGTGCCGTGGAAGAGCCGTGCGAAGTTATAAAATTATGTCCTAGCAACACCTGAGGTTCAAGTAAATACTACAAGAACAACGCTTAATGTCCAGTCTGTGAAATAACTGTTGTGATTATTGATTAAGCAGTTAATGACGCACGACACCGACGAAGCGACTACCTTTGGGAGTTGTCTTCCCGCTTTCTTCCTTTTTCTTTCTTCTTGTCTTCGGTTGTAAGCGTTTTTCATTTTCAACCGATATATAGGTACCGTTGATTATTGGCAACCTTGATACTAGTTAGCGGGATCTGCGTTCACTAAAATTTAAAGCAACCTAGAAAATTGCCTCCATTGCCTTTACGTAATTGCACCCATTGCGAAGCGTTCCATTTTATTATCATCGGCAGAAAGCATAAAAATTAACAGAAAGCACCTTTTTATAAATGAGACTGAAAGTCTCTGTACAAAGTACTTGCGGCCGGTTCAGCCGGCAGCCAATGAATTAAATGGCAGACAGAAAAGATATATGTTTAACCAATTGTTTCGGTGATTCGAATCTCGGGTCTGGTTTTTGCATAATTGCACTACTGTTTGTAAAAACTGATGCAGCTGCAGCAAGACAGTGTATCAACTGACGTCATTTCCTGTTGAGTTGGTCAGCTGGACAAAAGTGTTAAATCAGATAACTTCCGCTAAGTATCCACCAGCGACACAAACGTGTTTACAGCGAAACAGAAAGCATAATTTTGTTTGCAGTACGGTTCTCGCTACCATAAAGAGGGAAAGGAAGATTACTATCTCACTACTATCACGCACATTTGCGCCTTATCGCGCTGACCGTTATGTTGACTCATTACTAGCTTCAAACACAAAGTTTTTGTATGCATCTCGGTTTACGTGCATAGAATATGCAGTAGTAAAAGTTCGTGCTTCTGCAAAGTATTGCAAAAATGCTCTTCGCTGTCGGGCGACGTCTAAACTGTCCCTTGCTGCAGATATGTTAGAAAAAATTAAAATACAATAATTAATTTGCACAATATGATTTCTGGGGGTTCCGAGAAGGCAGCTCCGCTGTGCGTGTGGGCTATTTGTTTGTTCGTACTGCTTGCATTTCTGCCGGAGATTTCATCCGTAGCACTGGAAAATGGCACATTGATTGCAACAGGTACCAAAAATCGATGGTGTTCATAGCTGAAAGCCTTTGCATTTGCAGTGCTGTAATTTAAGGCAGCGTTGTGTAATATCGTTTGAAGCACAACCCGGTAACTCTGTGTTATAAAAAGCGCATCCAGGTGCGAGTCGCTTTAACGCATGTGGCTTCGTCCCGGTTTTCAGAGGGGCTAAAAGCCGGCGGCAGCGTCTGACCAAAATGCGCGTCGGCGTTGCCATTAAATTTTTTTCAGCTCGTCTTTTCAGTTGGTGGTCCGACGAGAATAAATTGTCGTAAAGTATGCATACTTGCAGAACCCTACATTAACCTGGAAAACGAGTGTAATAATACGTTCGAATTGCCTTGCATTTCCGGCACCGGTCGTGTTAACAAGGGTGGTACGCTGCGATTTCCCAAAGTGCCACAGACGTCGTGCCAAGTAACAGTTACTGCTGCCGCTTGCAAGGATTCACCGATTGCCTCTAATTTTAGTTTATACTTCAACATACGGTACGAAAAAATGTTTGGTCGACGAATCCGGTTTCATTGTTAAACCGAATACCGAATTTGCAGAGATGTGGTGTTGCCGTCGAAAGATCACGTGGACATTTACCAGTTGCTTGCACCTTCCACCGCAGCGTTATTGAAGACGGTGTACAGTGGCATGGTTGCAAATCCTAAACGAAGATCCGTCTCTCAAGCACAGACCAACTTTGTGAACGGGAACATGCAAGTGCGCCTGGATCTGGTGCGAAGTGCCCAGACAACGGACCGCCAGCATCGCGTGGAGATCGAATACACCGTCGTGACCGGTAATCGTACATCACGATTGGCATCAGCAACAGTACAAGTATACTATTTATCAACTGTATTAAATTGGCAGCAGAGAACGTGATGGACAACGGGATTCGCTGCGCCGCACTGGACGGTTATGTTGACCGGGATCTGGTGTGCAGGAACATCGAGAGAATAACCTGCCCAAACCAATACGAGCCGAATCTGTATGGTGCTAATCCAGCGGCGGATGTGGATAAACGGGAATGTGACAGTAAGACCTTTAATTTTTCAAAATAAATAAGCCGTAGAAAACGTTTTCTTTAACCCTATAGAACCGGAGTGGGTCATGGTGACCCAAGCAGTGGTAAAAACATTAGATATAGTTTCTTGTTGGCAACACATTGGAATATTCAATAGGGCCATTCTTCTACATTATTGGCAGTTCTACACTTCCGCATGACTGGCAGATGAATGGGCTCTGTCCCACTTTTGCCCAGCACAAATAAACTGACTATTCTCGCTCTCATTAGTCAGTCCTGCCCTCTCAAGACAAAATCGCCAGTTAAAGTGCCTGGGTCAATTGACCCATGTTCGGGTAGTATCGTCTCTGAGATATGTTCGGTTCTATAGAATTAAAAAGGCTATCAAGCTATTTATTTTGTCATAAGTTCTATTTTTACCAGATTTGACCATCCAGGAAGCTTTTCGTGATGACTTTACCGGGAACGATTTAAACCACTCAAGATGGAATATCCACGAAACCATTGAAATGGACGACGAAGTGCAGATCGACAAGGCAGCGGAAAACGTGGCGGTCGCCGACGGTTATTTACACATGCGAGCCGAACGCATAATGACCGGCACAACGGCCTCTTACCGCGTTAGTCATATAAGCACCGGGGAGAAATGCAGCTTCCTCTACGGCGAAGTGGAAATCCGCGCCAAATTCCCGTGTACCGACACATTACCGATCCAAGCTTTGCTGCGATTGGTCCGTCCCGAATGCCGGTTCGACTTCGAGGAGGCATGCAAATCAGGAGCCCTCACCGTAGCTGATTATTCGAGCCGATCTCCTTCTGCCGTGGAAGTAGCGGCGGATAATGGAGAATATGTCAAGCAGAAATACTTTAGCAACGCAAATTTATCCGCGGATTTCCATATATACAAAATGGACTGGAAGCCGAATTTAATTGTGTGGTATATCGACGATAAGGAGATTCATCGCGTTGTTGATATTAGGGACATTCCAACACAACCCATGCAGTTTTTCATGGAAGTCTCGGTATTCCCGACAGAGCCCACGGGATCCAATGAAACCGCGGAACTTCTTGTGGATTATGTAATTATCCGCAGTGACAACGGACATTTATTGGACAAAACACTGGATATATGGCACATTGCCATGATTGTAACGGGCGCTGCCATGCTGCTAATATTGCTCGTAATCGTCGGCAAATACATCCACGAGAAACTTACGCATCACCCGTTTAAAATACCCTACCTCAAGAATGTTTTCTTAATACCGGAATCGGATATAAAAATTCTGGAGGTTATCGGTGAGGGGCACTTTGGAAAAGTGTGGAAAGCCACGGCCATCAAGATTCCGGGAATTGGATGCCCCTGTACTGTGGCTGTTAAGGAGATTAGGACCCATCAGACAGAAGCCAATCCGGTATACAAGCGGTGGTCAAGGACCACTTTCGATATGGATGCACTGCACTCGCTCTACAGCGGACGAAAGGCGTCGGAATTGGAGGAAGTGCGAGTGCACAGTCAGATCAAAAAGCGGCATTTGAACATTATCAATCTTCTGGGAATGATATTTTCTGGTAAAGCAGAGTGGCCTTTACTGGGCACTGGTTTGTAGAACATATGTTTCTGTAACTTAACATCTATGGACTGTAGTTTTTTTTCGAACTTGAAGTTTTTATCGGTGGCCTTTGAACTGACCTGTTGAAATTCTATACGGTAGTATTACCTAAATTTTTGTCTTTGTTAATAGTTTTATATGGGTGACCTTTATATCTTCGTTACGATATGCTTTCTTACATAAGGTATTTTTCGTAGACGGACGCTTGCGCGTAGTCCTCGAATATGCTCCTCACGGGTCGTTATTGGATTACCTCCGTAAACATAAACAGATGATCCACGATCGTGATCCGTATCGGAATTACTTAAACGAATACGATGGGTACCTGGTTCCTAATGGGCAGCGAGATGAATCGTGGCCACCGGGGTGGCCGTTACATGAGGATGATCTGGTCAATTTTGCCTATCAAATCAGTCGTGGAATGACACATTTGGCGCTGTACAACATCATCCATCGTGATCTTGCCGCGCGCAATGTCCTGGTTTGCGAGGATAAAGTGGTCAAGATCTGCGATTTCGGGTTGGCCCGACACTGCACGGAGAAATCGGAGTATATACGTTTGGCAAAAACGGTAGGAATGCGACCAGTAATTCGCAAGCTTTAACAAGTTGCTATCGAATGGTGTGTTTTCATGTTCAGGATACGACACCGTTGCCGGTACGCTGGATGTCACCAGAGACATTACAGGCGGACAGTCGAAACCGGGTGTTTTCGGAGAAGTCCGACGTGTGGGCCTTCGGCGTGGTCATGTGGGAAATATTTTCTTTTGGTGCTCAACCATATCACGATGTTATCAAGGGGATGTCCAGTGAATCACTGATCAAACTGAAGAATCTACTGCACAACGGAGGGCGCCCGGCAGTTCCCGCCGGCTGCCCAGGGACAGTGTAAGTTAAATGAATTATTACTTAAATTAATTTATATGTCGCTTGAATGTCCAACATTAACTTTCTTTGGTAAATGTTGACGCAAAAGTTGAAATAAACAAAAATTAGGTGCGTATGGAATCCATATAAGGCGTATGTCAGCTGATTATTAATTTCAGTGTTGTACGAGCAGATTGCTTCAGTTGCTTGGTACGGTAACTGTCAGTCTGTGCGTGCGCAAATGACACAATCCTTACTTTGCCAGAATCTATCTACCGTCTACCAACTGATTGCTGAATTAATTTAATATTCAGTCGATGCGTTTTTGCAATAGCCCCCCAAAAGAAACAACGGTAAAGTACGGCTGTGTTTTTCTTCTTACAGGTACGACATTATGCAGGCCTGTTGGCACTACGAGGCCAAAGACCGGCCCACGTTTGTCGAGCTGATCAACCTCATCGACCCGTTGATGGGAGAAAATGCGCGCAACAATTATACGTCTCTGGATGAGCCCTACGTGCGCTTCAATGCGCACAATTACGCCAATGTGGGGGACAGTGAGCATCGCGGGCCGACATGTCTACCTCAGTGTCTAAATATTAAATTTTGAGGGTTCTTGTACGGAAAATCAACGCATTTCAAACGTTTTTGTTTCTTCACCGCGTACGACACTCCGGAACACCGATCGGAAACGATCAAGGAATCAGAGGGTCATTCCTGGCAATAGGATACGGAGCGCTGGTTTGATAAGTGGATTTTTCAGTACAGCGGAGTAGCCGTATTCCAGTCTGCAGATTGTCAGAAATAAATTGTTGTGTGGGCTGGGAAAGCATGTTCAGCATTAAAGGCGATTGTTTAATTTGGTTTAAATTATTATTGCGTACAGTGTACCTATTATTATGTGCTTACTTTGTGCATGTCGAAGAATAATTTATAAGTTATTGCCTTTACATAAATGCCGATGGTGGTTATCAACGTATTATAAAAAGTAAATACTATCCTACATAAATACTTAAATAGCAAACATACTTCCATAATGGAAGTATGTTAATGGCAGTTCCCTTAAGGCATATAGTTAAAATTAAAAACTGACGACTAAGGCCGAGTAAGGCATTCATTTTTTAATGTGTCGTGTACGCGCTGTACTTACCTATCCCGCAATCTGTAGTGGAAAAGACTATCATTATACTGTAAATGGTGAGGAAATATCGCTGTCTCTGTGCATAAGTAATTTGCGCTCCTGTTCAAACACACACGGGTAGCTGCAACCAGACAATGCACCCACTGACGTCATTTCCGGTTTGGATTGCCCTGTTGGACAAAGGTGTTAAATCAGCCAACAAACGCCCGCAAAGTATCATCAGCGAAACAAACGTGTTTACAGGCTGCAGTGAAGTTCGCTGTTCGCAAGCTTAGTTCGATAGTACTGTCCATAAAGAGGGGAATGGCGATAACTATCTCGAAACTGTCACGTACATGTACATTCTGCACTTTATCTCTCTGGCCGTTATTTTGATTCATTACTAGATTCATACACAAACTAACTTTTTCACGAAGCTTGTTTTACAAGCTTTGAGTCAAAACTGAAAATATAATCAGTATTATACGAGGGTAGATGTTTGTGCTATGTATGGTAAAAATGCTGCTCGCTGTGGTCCGATATATTTAAGCTGTTATCAAAGATAATTACTGAAAAATTATAGTATGTCATTTCATAGCACGATTTATTTTGATCCAAAGAAAACAGAACCGCTGTGGTTGCGTGTTACTTGTTTATCAGCGTTGTTTGCATTCCTTCCTGCGATTTCATCCGTGGAACTGGAAAATGGCACATCAGCAGGTACCTGTACGGCTGTACAAAATGATTTTCATAACGGCGATTGAAAATCCGTATTTGCAAATGATATGAAAATTCGTATTTGCAAATTAGCGGTACAGTTTAAATTTAAAAATACTGATGCATGTGATTATTACATGTATGGCGCAAAAACCGATTTTCGGAATCGATGCTCTCTGCCCAGAAAAAGCGGTTCTATCGTACGGCCAAAGTTACTTATTGGCTTTTAAAACGTTTGGAAAGCTCAAATACTGGTCTGACGGTTTGACGGAATGAGGATGAAGTTCAATTGTGTACACTTGCAGGATTGTACATTGATCTGGAATACGGGTGTAACAACACGATCGTATTACCATGCCTTTCCGGCATGAGACATCTTCACCGGGGTTACGGCGGTACGCTGCGATATCGGGAAATCCCACAGGCTTCCTGCCAAGTAACGGTCACGGCTGTCGTCTGCGATGGTTCGCCGATGGCGTCGAGATTCAGTTTGTACTTTAACATACGGTACGAAAAACTTTTTCCGCCCATAAATATATTTTTATTTTAAAACCTGCTCATGCAAATTCCAGAGAGGCAGTGTTGCTTGCAAATGACCGCGTGGAGATTTACCAGCTGTTTGCACCTTCAACAGCAGTCTTGCTAAAGGCTATTTATCATGGTACCAGTATATATCTCACGCGAAGATCCATCGCTCAAGCACAGACCAGTTTCGTCGCCGGTAGCATGCAACTGCGCTTTGATCTGGTTCGAAGTGCCGGAAACCCCGACCGTCGGCATCACGTGGACATCGAGTACACTGTCGTGACCGGTAATCGTACATCATCATTCGGCTGCGAGTTACAGCTGCTGCAGTACCGGGTGGCTGGACAAAATGGCAGTCTCCAGTTTTGGTTTGTTTCTCGCAGACCCGATGTCCCACCGCAAACAGTTTAGGCTCATTCAAAAAAGAATTCTATTAATATCCAGTCATGACACATTGTGACTTTCCAAAAAATACCGGTTATTAATTTGATTTTTATGAATATTTTTTGTTTAAATTGTTAGCTGCATAGCAAGTTGCAATGAAAAATTCCGGTCTTAAATGTAGCTAACATATTGTTTTTTCAGAAAAAAAATTGAAACAGATCAGTTTTAAAAGCGCTGGTCAAAAAGTTTGCTCTCAAAAACACTGTTTGCGGATTTCACGAAAATTACTCGTGCGCAGCTTCGGTTGTTCCGAGCACTGGCTAAACACGATTGCTAGAATATTGCAGTTTCTTTTTGTAAAAAAAAGAGGAACTATTCGAAAAAGTGACGTGAGCTGTATTAATGTTATTAGTTCAATAGCAGAGATTTATAATACAGAAATAGGTAATTTCAAATTTTCGCTTCCGGGACATCCTGTAAACTCACCCAGTTTTTCAAAGCAATTCATAAAAAATGTCAGCCTTAGCTTAATCTTGGTTTGACTTAATTTTTTTATGCTAAAAAGATTGTTCTTTCGAATGATACTAAGATGACGTCAATCAAGTGATGGACGGATTTAGCACACCATGGTAAACCAGACTGCCATTTTGTTCAGCCAACCGGTACAAATACGGTTAGTACTGACTGGCAGCGGAAAACGTGATGGAAAATGGCATTCGCTGTGTTGCGCTTGATGGTTACGTTTATCGGGACCTGGCGTGCCAGGACATGGAGAGATCAGCTTGCCCGAACAGATACGAACCAAGCCAGTATTGGACCAATCCAGCGAGCCATGTGGATCAACGTGGATGCGCCAGTAAGTCCGCCATACTCAACAGGCACGTTTGGTATAGACGTACTGTGTACGTTAAAATCACGTAATCCGGCTACAGAACACATGAAAATTTTTCCACAACACGCACAATCGTAATATGTACAATACATTTAACCAACAGAACGTTGAATCTTCTTAAAAATTCTTGTTTTTTTACAGGTAAACAAGAAGCATTCCTTGATGACTTTATCGGGCACGACTTAAACTACTCAATATGGAATATCCGAGAAACGAGTGAAGTGGACAAAGTACAAGTAGACACGGTGGCGAAAAACGTTGGGGTAGCGTACGGTTATTTGTATATGCGAGCAACAGCCGTCTACCGCGTCAGTCATATTAGCACCGGGGACAAACGCAGTTTTCTCTACGAGGAAGTGGAAATACGCGCCAAATTCCCGTCTTCCAGCACGTTACCTGTTCACGCCATGATGCGATTGGTCCGTCGCGAGTGCCAGTTCGACTTTTCGGGGGCGTGCCAATCCGGAGCCATCACCATAGTTGACTATTACAGCAGGTCTCCTTTCACCGTCTTAGTTGCGACGGATAATGGAGAGTACGTCAAGGAAAACTACATTAGCAAGGCCAATTTATCCGCGGATTTTCATGTATACAAGATGAACTGGAAGCCGAATTTGATTGTGATTTGTGTGGTATATCGACAATAAGGAGATCCATCGCATCACTGATGATGTATTCATTCCCACACAGCCTATGCAGTTGTACGTTGAAGTGACAGTCCTCCCGACGGTTACAAACGGGACCAATGAAACGGCTGAAGTCCTGGTTGACTACATAATTGTACGCAGCAGCAAAGGAGGCTTAATGGAAAGTGATAACGGAGGTTCAACACTGGATATATGGCCAAATGCGATGATTGTTTCGGGTGTCATCATGCTGCTAATACTGCTCATAATCGTAAGCAAATACATCTACGGGAAACCTACCAACCATCCGTTTAAAACGCCCTTGCTAAAGCACGTTCCACTAATACCGGCATCGGCTATAAAAATTCTGCCGGAGCCTATCGGCCGGGGGAGTTTTGGAAAAGTGTGGAAAGCCACGGCCAGCGAGATTCCGGGGTGTGAATGTCCTTGTATTGTGGCCGTTAAAGAGATTTTGAGCTACCGAGACCAAGCCAATCCCGTGTATAACCACCGGTCTTCAAGGAGGGTGCACTGCAGTCCTTCCATGGTGGACGAGACGCGTCAGAACTGGAGGAAGTGCGGGTGCACAGTCAGATCAAACAGCGGCATTGAACATCATTAATCTACTGGGAATGATGTCTTCCGGTAATGCTTTATGACCGTTAACCGGTATTCGCTGCGCAGTGCGCAATATGTCGCATTGTTAAAGTGAACATTAGGTCTTTACCTTTATCATTGTTTTTGTGTGAATGACCTGTGAATTTGTGTGCTAGGTATATATGTTTTATGTACAATATTCTTGGTACTCCAGACTAACAAAATTCAAATAGTATTAAATAGTTCATTGTTTATCTTGTTATAAACAGTATATTTAATCCCGATCGTGCCCCGTTTTAACTATTTACCCATTTTCTATAGACGGACGCGTATGCGTAGTCCTCGAATACGCTCCTCATGGATCCTTGCTGGACTACCTTCGCAAGCATAAACCGATGCGGCAGGATCGTTGTTCGGATCGAAATTACTCGAACGAATACGATGGGTATCTGGTTCCGATTTGTCAGGAGGGAGAAGAGGCGTGGCCTTCGGGATGGCCGTTACATGAGGATGATCTGGTTAATTTCACCTTTCAAATCAGTCGTGGAATGACGCATTTGGCGCTGTACAAAATTATCCATCGTGATTTGGCCGCGCGCAATGTCCTGGTCTGTGCGAATAAAGTGGTGAAGATCTGCGATTTCGGATTGGCTCGCCACTGCACTGAGAAATCGGAATATATACGTTTGGTAGATACGGTAAGATTAAGACTAATAAATTGTACGCTGGGTTCCGTTACCGAATGGTTTTGGTTTGATAGGATGCAACACCGATGCCAGTACGATGGATGGCACCAGAGACGTTACAGGCGGACAGCCGAAGCCGTGTGTTTTCGGAGAAGTCTGACGTGTGGGCATTTGGCGTGGTCATGTGGGAAGTATTTAGTTTTGGCAGTCAACCTTATCACGACGTTATCAGGAAAATGTTCAGCGAGTCACTGGTCAAACTTAAAAATTTGCTACACGAGGGAGGACGCCCTGCAATTCCCAGTGGCTGCTCAGCGACAATGTAAGGATTTAAATTGCTACGTTTGATGCTTTCTTCTTATTTCATTAATGTAATTTTAGTTTTTTTCAGTTTAAGTTGTTTACGTGCCATGTTTTATGTCCCACCTATCAAAATTTTTGTCTTGATAGTTCTTTATAAGTTCCTCAAATAATGGAGGCATACAACTTATAGTGTTAAACTAGTGCAATAGTCATCCTCCTAAGCACAAACATTGAGCGAAATTCAGCGAATTACGCATTGGCTGTACATTCTGTATCTTTACGTGTTAAATTTGTTAATAATTAATTAATAATAATTAATAATAATAATTAATTAATTAATAATAAAATAATAATTAATATTAATTAATAAATATAATAATAATATATATATTAATATATATATAAATATATATATATATATATATATAATATATATAATATATATAATATATAATATATATATAATATATATATATATAATAATATATATATTAATTATTAATAATTAATATTAATTAATAATTAATAATAATTAATAATTAATTAATTAATTAATTAATTAATAATAATTAATTAATAATAATTAATTAATTGTTAATATTTAATTTATCTTTACGTGTTAATTTATCTGTACATTCTGTATAATTACGCATTGGCTGTACATTCTGTATCTTTACGTGTTAAATTTCCGGATCGGATGGTACAATTATTCGTTTTTCCTTTTATTCGTTTAGGCGGCTTCCCGATAACCGCTCCCGGCTCGTTCCTCGTTTCCAGTGCGACTTCCGTCCGCAGGGATGTAGAGGCACACTAACGCACTAGGCCCAACTCAACCACGATCTGGTACCAAATAAGCAGGGCGCTATCAGTATCCACTGGAAACCGAGAAACGGCTGCGAAAGGCGCCGATGGGGGAATCGAACCCCGGCTACGTCATTAGATCCGCGTAGGCAGTACCACTGCACCACGGCGCAATACGTTGAAATCATTTGAAAGATTTTGTCGCTGTACGTGAGCCGCTTCTCCGCTCACAGTACTGTACTTCATTTAAAGCGCGGTCTACAGAAGCTCATTTGATAGCCTGTTAGACCCTGCTATGTACCTATTTAGGCTCTGCTTGCATGAATCACGGTGCCAAAGTCCCAAAATCTGTCTGTAAACTGCATTATTTAATATTCAGGCTTTCGAAATAACTTTCGTTTTTGTTCGTTCTCGAAATAAGATGATGAATAAAGCATTAACAAACTTGTACGGTTGTGTATTTTTTCCAACAGATACGACATTATGCAAGCCTGTTGGAACTACGAGGCCAAAGATCGGCCCACCTTTGCCGCTTTGATGAACCTCATTGATCCGCTGATGGGAGAAAATGCGCGTGATACATATACGCTCCTGGATGAGCCCTATGTACGTTTCAACGCTCACAACTACGCCAATGTAGGAGACAATGCGCATCGTGCACCGACTTGTCTACCACAATGTCTGAATATTCGAGAGTCCTGCGTTAAATTTACCTAGCAGATTTCAGTAATCGGTTTAAAGTCGGAATTCGCCATAGCGCACGTACAACGCTATGCTTTTACGCGAGGTAAAGGTCATCCGTCATGGACCACGGGTTACTAAACCATTTGTGTTAAATTGCTAATTCCTCAATCTTTACGGAGACATGTTATACAAGGATCCGAAATGCGTAAAACAACGAAGTACCGAATTGCTGACTGTATCGGTAGTTCGCCGAATCCGGTTTTATGAAATGCAGGTGTTACTTTAGAGTGCTAAGCTATCGTACTGAATAAATCAGCTCGCAGTGGGCAAACGCTAGACCTGTGTCGTCGATTGGAGACAAAAAGGAGCAATTCCTGTATTCAAAATTACTCTAGATTAGATTGCGATACAGGCAGCTAGACGGACAAAAGAAGCAACCTAATAATCGAAAAACCGTATTCAAGCTGAATAGAGGATAGTCAGAGATACAGATAATACAAGGCAGACTATTCAGCTTGACCATGGAAGAACTCATCAGCGGTACAAGAGCAAACACTTCAAGAATCCACTACTGAGCACTGACCCCCTCTCGATGCAGGCTAGAAATATTTTACGATGAATAGAGTCTCAACGATGGTAGTCTAAGCAGGGCGCAATCCGAGGGAAACCGAGAAACGGCTAAAAAAGGCGCCGATGGGGGAATCCAACCCCGTGAAAGGCGCTTACACTACAGTGTGAGGAGATTTGTATGCTAAAGGATGCTTGCCGCAGTAGTGCAGTGGTTAGTCGCTCGGCTACAGACGCAGCTGTCGCGGGTTCGATTCCCGCCTGTGGCGCGTTTTTTGGAAACAAGTCTCTTTCCACATAAACGGCCTCTCTTGCACCCGGCTACGTCGTTAGATCCGCGTAGGCAGTACCACTGCACCACGGCGCAATACGTTGAAATCCTTTGAAAGATTTTGTCGCTGTACGTGAGCCGCTTCTCCGCTCACAGTACGGTAGAAATCACCGTCGTGACTCGTGACAGTCAGTTGCGTCTTCGAATTTGTAGTAATTTGATGTTTCGGGCAAAACGTTTTCTTTCGAAAATTATTACATCATGGCCGCACGCCTATAAGTGGTACGCTTCCGTGTTACAAAAGCATTTTAACGGAAGTCACAATTTACGCTGCGAAGATAAATCAGTTTCAGCCACCAGCCCACCAGTGTGCAGCGCGTATTTGAAAAACGAGTGGTTCTGGTATAAGTGGTATTCCCTAAGTTTCTATCGCGTTTGGTTTTTAACCGCATTTTCAACAATCATAATGTCCCTGCTCAACGCGACTCCAATATATTTTCGTCGTTTCGGTTTGGAAACTCGAAGTATGAATTTCGACAATACCGTACTGGTGAAGAGAGACGATGGCGAATGGTGGCTGGGATACATTCAGGATATTGATGGAGACCTCTGTTTTATCGATTTCGACAGCACCACAACCCCGGCATCGTGGATCCACTCATGTCATATCTGGCCACAGGTCCATTACTACCAAGACGACGAATCCACCTTATATACTATGGGTCAACGTGTGCACGTGGCGGTGCGCACCGAATTAAGTGGGCCGCTTATCTTTCGGCCAGGCAGAATTAATTACCCCGCACCGGACTCCTGCGATTTTGACTACTGGAATGTATGTCTAGATGATCCTGTGGGTGGTGCTGAATGGTTAAGCTCCAGGTTCGTTCACGAGTCTGAGATTGCCTCAACGTTGCCACCCATGGAAGAGTTATGTCTGTTTCGGAAAAATGAAACGTTCTTGTACAAGAAGCACGTTGTCGCCTTCCCACCAGCTTATATGATTAGAAATCTGGATGCCCTGCCAGCATGCATTCTGCAGACGCCTCGGGCAAACAGGCTCCCGCGTGCGGCTGCCGGAACTCGGTTTTTTGTACGATTTGGCACGGATTCTGTTACATTTGTCATCGCCGAAGAGCGCGACAAAAAAACAGGCGCAGAGACAATCTTTAATGAGGATGCCCTGAAGCACGCTTGTGGACAGCTGCTAAGCATTCAACCTTCGGCTCGACCGGAAACGGTGACGCCCGCCGACAGCTGTCAAGGTAACGAGTAAGGCATTCATGTTTTTTCTCGAATCTGAATTTATACTAAAGCAGCCCAAAGTACGAGCATAGTCCGATATCTTCTTGCATGAATAATGTACTTCTACGGTATTTGCAGATACATGCGGCATTATACCATAGTGGTGAATTAGTAATGGGCTTTACGTAATATGTATTGCTGTCCCTAATGATAGTCGCACCTATACATCCGTTGCAATATCAGAAAAATTTATACAGATGCCCCTAGCTACCGGATCAATGAATTTCCTCATCCAATTTTGACTGATGTTCTCCAGTATCTTCCTGCTCGCGTTCAAACAAAGATGCACAGGTACGTCTACAATAGTCAGCATTTACAGAGTACACTCTCCATAAGCATGTTGCAGGTATGTACAGTATTTGCACTTTCAGTCGGCGACTCGGTGTACTGTACCAAATACCGTACTGCACTACGTGAATGTGTGATTAATACGATATGTCTGTTCATTTAATTATAACCATTTCAAGCGCATTTCAAGTAACTGTTTCAAGCATTTCAAGTTAAGCGCATTTCAAGAACTTCATTAACTTGAGGGAACAATGTTCCCGTCGGCCACTGCCGAGGCAGTGATACCCGTCTTTTTAGTTTGAACCATAAAATTAATGTATTTTCAGAGTGTGTATGTTATGGCACCTGCTGCTGCAAAACGATCGGGCCACCATCGACGTCATAGTGGATACTAGCGATGGACAGCTAACGACATCAGACTATTTCAATTCTTTGGATGTATTCTGGAGCGATATGCACAAACTGACAATGGTTATGGACCAAATGGTCACACGCCGAACAAGAACACTGACCCTTACCGACGTCAGTGGGACAGCGAAATTCGAAAACGCAGTGAATATCGCAACGCACGTGCTCCTAGCCAAAAACATCCGGGTCCCCCTGATTATTGTTAGAAAGTGCCGGAATCGGTATGAGGAGATAGATGTTGGCAGATATTATACCTTCAACGGCGCAACTTACGCATGCCGCAACTTTTCAAAATTAATGGCCGTCTGTGACCAGCTGCTAATCATCCAACATAAAATTCCCGTTCCAAGATTTTTCTATCGTCCAGCCGGTGGTCTGCTATTCTGTAGCTATGGACAGCCGGGCGTTCTTCCACAGTCCGAAAGAGCTTTTATGCGACGGGATCAGGATGGCGACACAGATTCACGGGTCGTTACCGTCAACAGTCTGTTGTTGCATTCGAATCAAACCACAGCGCAACGGACGCGGCTGTTCTTATTGGCTGCTGACAGCAGTTACCCACCAATCAGCCAAATCGTCTATGAGAAAGTGAAAGGCATATACAACCGCTGGATACAGACGCTGGCCTATCCGGGTGACTGGGTCGCAGTCTGCAAGTTTCTAAATCTGTAAGTACAATTTCGGGCAATATTTACTTCTTCTACATATACAAGTAGTGATATTATTCCTTGAAATGCATCCAAGTGATTTTGTGTTCCTACTAATTATTGATTGCTATGGATGCTACTAATTCGTGTTTGCTATGGAAATACTTGCTAATTGGTTTACTGGTCCGGCCTTCCGACAAAACGATTATAATGTATGTTTATAAAAGAATCGTACTGTATGTTTACTTCGAACTTTTCCAGGAAACCCGGTAAGAACCAGTCGGATATGTAACAATTATTCGGAGAAAGCTTTGTAATTCGTTGCTGATGCTCTTAACTCATAGGTTCAACGGGTTTCGCTCAGATGGAACACCACAACGATGGGATGCGATAGACCTCCGGGAGCTGCACATTTCGGCTTTCAACAAGATAACCTTAGCAGCGATCGATGCATGCTTTACGGACGTGCAGAATTGCCTTTAATGGATCCGATATTTTGTCGCTACATACTTACTATCCGTCTTTATCTAATTCTTTGCATGTATGATTCTCTTGTCACGCAATTGCCTTTCCGTTATAATTAGAGGAAACTGATAAACAAGCATTAAGTAGCCGTGTCTGATGTCCATGAAGTACACAGTCACCGGAAATAAAACCGTATATAAATTTGCACTCTTGTTCAACTTACTGTTTTCACACCAGGTAAAAACATAGAGACAATAAACATACGCCGCTTCGCTTTGCTCCGCTCTGTATGAGAGGAGCAATCACTCTCTCTCTCTGGTCCTTGAATATGCGCTGTCCGGATGCTCGGACAGTAACAGAGAGAAACTTTTCGGTATAAATGACGTCATGAATACCCTTGGCCTCAAAGCGTTCATTGTGTGCACTGGTCTGATCAGTTAACGTGGTCTGAAATAATTCTGGCTCCAATACATCGCCGCTAAAAATGCTATTAGTTGACTAAAATATTTATTTCGTGTTTTATTGACATATTCTGTGAATGAAAAGTAGCTACATTTCGCGTTATCAAAAAAGAGTTTATGAAACGGACCAATCGTGCGCAGTTCGTGGTTCAAGCAAGAAATAAAGGCGGAGCATGTTACTGTCCGAGCATCCGGCCAAAGTTTTATGGCAGTGATTGCTCCTCTCATACAGAGCGGAGCAAAGCGAAGCGGCGTATGTTTATTGTCTCTATGGTAAAAACTTACACTGTTCTCACAGATTTCGCGATAAAAGCGCCTTCCCGTACGGTGCCGCAAAGCCGTTTGCTGTTATGGGAAATTTTTTTCGTAAGGACTAACTCAGTATCTGCTGAATGAAAGAAAATCGGAGATCGTGTTCTGGTGCACCAAAATTCATGTAGAAGTACTCGTACACGCAGGTACTTTTACGTGATCTGATATTCTTGATTCCGTGTTTAATACGAGCATGTACGTCTGCTCCGACTGACTCGTGCTTTTACCTTAAGAAAATGATTCGCAATAGAATCCGAACCAAACCGCAACATACGTACTACTATATAGAAGTATCCCAAAAACTCTGACGCTTTTGCAATGGAAGCTTTGAAAGAAGTTTTAAAATTTTTTGAACTTTGCTTAATGTAAAATAATGTTTGGCGCACAAAAGATACTCGTACTGCATAAATCAGCTCGCAGTGGGCAAACGCCATATTTAAATTTTTCAATCCAATTGCGCCCTATTTGCTATCCAACTGCGCCCTAGATTAGAATTCCTCCGGGGTCAGCACGACACCGCAGCGTATTGAATATCCTACAGACTTTAGCGATACAGGCAGCTAACTACTAGTATTAAGACAAAAGAACGGTCCTAACAATAGAAGAATTTTTAAGAGGCTGCGAGCAAAACCTTGAAGAATTCACTGACCCCTCTCTCGGCGCAGGATAGAAATGTAGGGACGGTGGCTGAAGTCTTAACGGTGGCAACGCGTAAGGGACGGTGGCAACGCGTAAGGTAGGAATTGCTGTAGTACTGTGATGTCAGTGACGCCGATGAGTGTGCTACTGTGCTACAGTAGTACTTTGAAATTTCGTGCAAAAGGTTTGCTTTCGAAAATTGTTACACCCGGACGCACATCGGCACTTGACAAGTAATACGGTTCTGTGGTGCAAAAATTCATTGACCGGATTTCCGGCGTACTAGCTAACTTGCGATCTGAAGATAAACCTGTTTCAAATATTCACCAGGGTGGTTTCTGGAAAAAATTCGTACTTGTGATCCTTTAGTGACACACTTTCACGTGTTGGTTTGGATGGTATTTTTCGACGTAATGACGCTGATCTACGCAGCGCCAATATATTTTCGTCGTTTCGGTTTGGAATCTCGATGTCTAAATTTTGGCAACACCGTAGTGGTGAAGAGAGACAATGGCGAATGGTGGATGGGATACATTCAGGATATTGAGGGAGATTTTTGCTTTATCGATTTTGACAGCACCATAACCCCCGCTTCGTGGATCCATTCATGTTATGTCTGGCCACAAGTCCACTACTTTCAAGGATATAATTCGGCCTATAAGGGGCAAAGTGTGCACGTGGCGGTTCGTAACGAATTTGGTGGACCTCTTGTATTTCGGCCAGGCAGAATTCATTACGCCCCACCGGGATTCACTTCTTTATTCTGGAGCGTCAGTATGGATGATCCGTCACAGCCCAACGCTCATCAGTACCACTCCAGATTCGCCCACTAGTCAGAAATTATCATGCAGCTTTCTCCCGTGGAGGAACTGTGTTTGGTTCGGAAAAATGAAAGATTTGTGTACAAGAAATACGTTATCGCTTTCGAAAAAGCGCACTTGATTAGGAATCTAGATGCCATGTCGGCATGCATTATGGGCGTCCCTCGTTCAGTCGGCGATCTTCCACGTTTGTCCGGCCCTCGGTTTTTTGTCCGGCTCGGTACGGATTGTGTCACTTTTGTGATTGCCGAAGAGCGCAACCGAATAAGAGCCAGAGAGAGAATTTTTAATGTCGTGGATGCCCTCAGGCACGCTTGTGAACATCTGCTTACCCTTCAACCTCTGGCAACATTCGAAAAGGGGACGTTAACCTTTGGTTGCACTGATGCGGATGGCATCCAGATTAATGACCTTCCTCAACCGATTTTGATGACCGTTCTTCTGCTTTTTCATGCTCCTATTCAAGCAAAAATGCACAGGTATGCTAACTGTATTTCAACGTTTAGATTCTGAAGATTAACCAGCCTGCAAGTACTCACACCGTTTTAATGATGCTGCTGTTTCACTTTCACTACTCGTACTAACATTGCTGTAGCGTACTTTAAATGTACCGACATACTGTATACAACTGTACGAGTGCATTCCACTGTAATATACTGTAATTATTGCAATTACTGTGTGCATGTTTCATGTTTGATAAGTACATACTTAAGGGATTTTGGCCTGGTACATAGCACCAAATGCGTGTACATCCACGGGAACTTTCGCTGTCGCGCTCTCCCAAACACGTTTTCGTATGGCTTTATGATATTTTGTAGCCAAAACAAAATAAGTACGTAGGCGTGAAATCCGTTTGCGCGCGCACCCTCCGGTTGGAAAGCGATGCGTGAACCAAAACTCCAAAAAGTTCAAATGTATTCAGGTGTACTAATAGTCTCATTGTAAATATAAACCGATCTAACCATGCACCGATTGCCCGATTCCCAGTTGCTGTTGAATCTTGCATTGTGAACAAACGTATTGTACAAATAGATATTAAGGGATTAAATTCGTTTACGCGTGCAACACCCGGTTGAAAAGTTCAGGTGCACCAAAAGTCTAATTATAAACCGATCTCATTCAAATTTTGCACTGCACGTACAGATAAAGGCACATACACATGAAGATTGTTTTTACACCGAATCAGAGTTGCACCATTTTTTTCAAATTTTAAATTGATTTAAAAAATTTTCGAAATTCGTTTTCAAAGTTAAAAAAGGTTTTGCAACTTTGGTTCGGTGTAAAAACGATCTGTATACTAATCGTAAAGTGCATTTACATGCAAACTTCGAAGATACAAAATCTAACGAAATATGATCAACAGACAGTTGTTGCATCGTGACACAATCAATGTGAATGAACCGCCAGTTCTTGTGGTAAAGTATGCGTTGAAACGAGGCTTCTCCGTTTTTTAGTTTTACCCTGAAGTACATACCTATTACGTTTACAGAGTGTGTATGTTATGGCATCTACTGCTGTCAAGAAATCTGACCAACACCGACGTCTTAGTGGATATTAGCGATGGACTCTACACCAAGCCAGACGATTTCCATGTTCTAAACTCTCTATGGAATAATATGTACAGACTCATTATGGTTGTGGATCATACGATCACTAAGCGCACGAAATGGCTTATCCTGATCGACATGTGTGGCACTGGCACTACACAATTTGAAACTGCAGTGGATATCACGATGCACGTGCTCCTAGCCAAACACATCCGTGTCCCGATGATCATTCTTAGAAAGTGCCGCAATCAGTATGAGGAGATAGACAGAAAATACTCCAAAGCGGAAGTTATGAATGCCGTAATTTTCCAAGATTATTGACAGCTTGCGACCAGCTGCTGATCGTCAACCATGAACTTCCCGTTGTAATGCTCTTGTGTGGTCCGGCGTATGATCTGTTATTGGCTCTTCCAGAGTCCGAAAAAGCGTTTGTACGGAGGGATTGGGCTGACATATATTACCGAATCGTTGCAGTCAATCGTCTGCTTTTGCGCTCCACGGAAACAGCAGCTCAACAGGCAAGACGTTTCCTGCTGGCTGCTAACAACAGCTACCCACCGATCAGCCAAACCGTGTATGACAACGTGAAATCCATCTACGATCGCTGGATACGGACCCAGGCTTATCCGGGCGACGGGGTTGCAATACGCAGTTTTCTAAATTTGCAAGTACATTTCAATTTTTTGCGTCACCTACTCGGATTATTGCTTGAAGCGCAAATTCTCAGTTCAGTACAAAGCGTGTGCATAGAGCAAGCACTGCAAGTACGACGTAAATACACGCGGCGCAAACACCGGTTTCCGGAGCGACGTCTGTAGGAGCTGGTTTTATCATATTATGGATAAAATACGTTATGTTTGTTATTGAAATAGTTGCTACTTTGTCCATTGGCCTGACGTTACGACGATATGAAAATTACGCCGTGAATTGCAAAACTACTGTCACTTTCAAGGAAACCGCTACGAACCACTCGAATTTGTGGAGATTTTCCCAAATACAGAACAAGTTGTACAGATATAAATTCAGTGCTGCTAGTAGTAAAAGGCGTCCCGCAAAGGGAATTTGATCTCTACTACCCTACTGGACTTCCGGACTGCAGTTTATGACATCATAATAATGTTAAAAACATATTAATAAATAAAGTTAATTTAATTACACAAATTACATTAGTTCAGGGTATATGTAAATGGAACGGACAAAAATTACCGTGGTAAAAAAACTGCAGATACTGTTTGTGAACAACCAAGAAAAAATCGGTTGCAATTACAGCCGTCTACGATAATATCCCGGACGCCATATATTATTCGTTCCTCGGGTGATATTTAATCAAGATAAATGCCAATTTACTGTGCTATTCACAACTTTCCCGTGCTACCAGTAAATTAACATACTGTAATACGAGTATTATTAAAAACAATAATGTTGCTACTGCTGAGAATCATCGGAATACTTCCTCAAAACACCACTGCAGGTTCACTTTGACTTCCGGCCATGCAGTTCATGATGTTTAACTAAAACATAAAAACATACTAATAAATAAAAAAATAGAATAAATTCGTCAAGTGAATTTTCACGGAAGGTACTAAATTTTGTTACGTAAAAAATACAGCACACATTAACATAAACCTCGATATAATAAAAATTTCATATTAAAATGTACACACGCCTACTTGGTGGAACAAGTTTGGGGCTGCTTACGCGTGGCTTCATGTCAGTTTGCGATCGCATGGGATCCAGAACGGCATCGAGAACCGCATGGCAGCACAAAATATTTCTCAGTTTACACTGAGCGTGCGTGCAGAAACGTGGGATATCCGCTGGACGAAAGTGTTTGCTGCAGATCTTGCTGGTTGCGGAAGGAGTGCAGCCGTTGGCACAGTGAAAGCGATCAGCGCTACACAAAAAACAACAAACTTAAGTAAACAAGACCATCGTATACGTATGCATAAAAACTGTGTGCCATCGCAGCGATACCAATAATAAACCACACGCAGCCTTTCTCACAAAGTTTCCTCATATTTAACATCGATGATCAACTGCACGATATCGTAAAACTTATTTAACAGAATAAGACAAGGATTAAGATGAATAATTTTAACAACTGTCTTTATCGAACGGGGATCTTTTATTAATTGTTAAGAAAATCATCATGTTAAGGAAATCATAGTTATAATGAATAACAAAAAATAAATTGTAAACGTGTTATTTTAACAACAAAACTAAGATGCACGGATAAATACTCAAAAAATTAGACAAAATAATGGTATCATTATTTAAAAAAAATACTACGGGTATTCAAGAGATCGTCGCAAAAATCTAACTGCAAACAGTTAATGCTGCATAAATTAACATAATAATCAGCGTAAATCAAACGAAAGAGCGAACTACTGAACGAAAAAATATACTAAAATACTAGACTGCGATAATAATTTTGTTGTCAGCGTCAATGCTCACTTGAAAAAATTGTGATGTTGCACTTACCAAAATTGGCGTGAAAATTACATGGATTTCATCCAGTTGGACGTGTGATCGGAATCCAGTTGGAAGTCTCCCGTTTTTATTCAGTTCGTACATTCCTGCACCACAAACGAGCGCTCCGCTACCGCAACTTTCGTCATGAAATCTGTCAAAAATCGGGAAAATTGCGGTAAAATATGTGCTGCGTAAACGTCAGCCCGCATTGCATGGGCATAACGTTTTCACCAGAAAAAAATTATCATGAACATTAAATTTAACAGCATTTTGTGAAATTCTTATCATTTCTGCAAGGCTTACCTGTGAGTCCGCCAGCCCAACGTCTCCCGTCTTTCCCCCCGTCTACCGTCGCATTCAGCGTGGCCTATCCCAAAATCCTCCTCGGGTACCCCGTCGTCTCTATTTCTATCGTTTTTCCCTATCGTCTGCTGTTGTGGCCCGCAAATTTCACGGCCCCCGCGTCCATTATAGCCCCGCGTCTGTCACAGCCCCGCGTCCGCTACAGCTCTGCGTCCGTCACAACCCCGCGCCCTCCGCCGCCCAGCTTCCTGCCATTCCCTCGATCCCCCCCCCCCCTCACCCCCGCCCCCACGCTGCGCTGCCCCTGTGTGTTCTGCTACCTATAACGCCCCTGTTTGTACTGTTACCTTTATGCGCTGCAAAACCACACTGCGTACGATTATCGTCAGAGAATTTTATTTACTTAATTACCGTCGTATTAAAAGAACTGCCACAAAATCATCAAGTATACAGTTTACAAGTATCAAATCACTACAAATTACATTGCCATCTTATTTCCTATTCTCAATTCAATGTGGCTAGGCAAAAAAAACACTGGATATTGTCAAAATTGTTTTTATGGAAAGATCGTCGTCCAAGTCGGCCTTCCATTTGGCCGCCTGTTTCATTTCTTCATGCATCTGGGGCGTAATTTTAGAGGCAAAAAATGCCAAAGGCACTAAAAACAATTAAATTACCTAAAAGCTAAGAAAATTATTAACAGCACTTACAATTTGCCTGCTGAGCGCTGCGACGCAAAAACGCGATGGTGTCCGCATCCAGATTCAATCTGCGGATTTCTTCTGGAAGATCGCTGTCCTCCGGAATGGTGGATGAAATCTCGTTGCTTTGCTGGCTGGCCATGTTGTTGGAAATCTTGAATTGCAGACTGCAGATGGCTTGACTGACTTCATTTCTGTCGCTAGCACAGACTTATGAGCTAGAAAAATCTTTAACTGTCAACACGATGGAACGTGATGTTCCATCACTTTCTACTGAACAATCGCATTGGAACGTACACATTCACGATTGCGATTCTCCCTAAAATACAATATCTTTAATTTTACGCTTAAACGTTTGAAAATTCAACAGGTACGTATAAATATGAGTTGTACATGTTTGTGAATAAAGTATAATGGTGATGTTTGTGATTCAGCTAGCCGTGCCATTGTGATATCGTTTCCTCCTTGGACGCGTCTGTTTAGCGTGTATGCGTGTACATCTGTGGCCAGAAAAAGTTCCTGGCGGCACTACGCACATTTTTTCCGCACGAACCCTACCGTAAGTTCCTTGTCTAATTACTATGTACTAATTAACGTTTTTTACCTAATACTTCGAAGGCTTATACTGAATGCTATTTGTTTTGATTGTATTCATACAGAACTAGAGTTTTGTGATCCAGTAGACAGTTTCGGGACTTGTAACGTTTGCCCTGGCTCTATCGGAAAATTTTCACTACTGATCTCGACGAAATTTTTCTTTCTGCATAAAAATCAACTTTTTATTCTTTTGCTTACTGTTTCATACTTTAAGACTTGTTAATTATTACTGAACATTATATTATTTCTACTTTATGAGTCCGAATGCAATTAATTACTAAAAATAATTGTTTACAGGTTATTACAAGCGGGATAGCGATACTATTAGGAACACCATCTATCCATAGGCTACACTGCGTGAACGTTTACGACGGTACAACTTACTTTTCGGAGATATATTATTCTGTGTTCCTAGCATAATATTAATATTGTTACATCGTAATTAATGCTATACTTTTTCTTTACCGCAATTTATTTTTATTATCATTAAACTGTCTTACTTGCAGATACTTTACCACAATTACAACGGACTACGGCCGTATACCAAGCGCCAAAGTACATTTCCCCTTAAATATTTGTTTGTGAACTATTTGAATAATTTATTATAATTTTGGTGTATTATAGCAATTGATCAGTTATATCTGCTGTAATTATAAGTGTAACTATTTGCAGGCTGACATCACGACTGTGCTAGCATCACAACGCAAGTCCATATGGCTGAGCAGGAGCAAAGGTCAAAGCGGAAAATGGAACCAACAGAGTAAGCTAATTTCGTAAAAATATTCAGTGAAGGAAAAACAGTTTTCTATAGCATAATTTATAATTTCCATGAGAATCGATTCCGGTTTTCAAAATTTACCAAGTATAATACTGCTACTGAATAATATTCAATCTGCTGTACAACCAAATCAACCAAGTCTTGTATCGTTTTACCTTTATTTTAATTTGAACGTAAGCAAAATAAAAATACAGTAAAATCAAAATTATTCAATAGTTCAAAGACATCAATACTATTTAAGTCATCGGTCAGCAGAAGTGATGTAGTGCCAGAGTTATTTGCAAAATGGAGCAGCAGAGAAAACACAAGCCAGCTCTCACAGCGCTTGCTGCGGCTTGTATAATTATCCTGGTGATAATAATTTTAGTAGGCGATATTATTCTGCCTATCGTAATAGCGACGATACAGCAACAACAACAGCAGCAGCAGCAAGAGCTTAATAAAAATCAATCAGGAACGTTATTTTCGTCGACGTACCCGAACGGGAGCGTCGTCAAGTCCGGCAGTATCCTTCGTTTATCATAGGTAAGCTTAAAGCGCTTTACCCGGTCCACAGCATCAATTTCAAGGGTCCGTTTATTACGCCGTATCACGGAAGAATACCGTAAGGGGTACACTTGAGGTCCAGGGGTTGTCCAGAGTGAAGTGAAAGTATTTAAATTAAGTGTTTTCTTGATAGTTCGATTGAGTGTAAAACCTTTAACTTTGCAGACATGCTTTCCTTTGTTCGTCACATAAGCATAAGATTTAGGAGCGCAGATGGTGACCTCTGTGATGAATTCACCATCATTTAATTCGTTTGTCAAGTCCCCCATGTAGTTTCCCAATCGCACTTCAGGATCTCCTTGCCGATGAATCCACATTAAGGAATCAGTATCAAAATATATTAGGTTACGCCCAACTTGAGCCATATAATTGTATAAGTGAAGGCGGGCATGGGCAGTCGTAAACCTAAATTATCCAAACAATAAATATTTTTGAGAAAAACGTATTTAATATATTTATTTTGCACTTACGCCGCAAGGATAACATTAGTCTTTGGATTAACTGGAATAAAGTCTTCCTTGGACTTGTACGCAACTTGAATAACGGTGTCACTGAAGAATTCGATATTGTGAATTTCCAACGCATCATTTAATAAAAGTTCGTAAAAATCTTTGGGCTCGGAAATGAACTGTGTAGACAATCTGTCCTCGCGCATCCCGAGTCGGCCCCAGAAACTACAAAAAGAAAAGAAAATAAGCAATTTCAACTAATGTATACCTAATGAAACTGAAGACTTACTTGTTTAAAAATAACTTTGCAAGGGCGCGAAGCCCCAGATTTTTTTCCACTTTCTCGGCGTCAATAGATACACCTTCTCGAAGTAAAAATTCTTCCACATACTGCTTTTTTTCTTCTTCTGTTTTAACATTAGAGGGCCAACCGCTGGCCTCCGTTTTTAATTTCAAGAAATGCTGGATGTACTCTTTAAATAAACCTTCGCGAGAACTCGGAAAATGCCAAATTTCGTAGACTTTTATCACCGTATATCCCAGGGATAGTGCCTTAATGATTTCCACAGAGCACCAGACGCCCGTAAGTGATCTTTCGGTGTCTGTGTGCTGACAGCTAGAATTTTGCTGCGTCTCAGCACATAGTCGGCATAGTGGAAAAGTTAATTTTTCAGTACGGTAGGGTAGAACAGGTAACCATAGGCTTTTGGGCGGTAGAATGGTCAGGTAAAATAGCCCAAAATAAGTTTCCAAATTTGGATCAAAGTCCGCAGTAATTCGCACGTGTGGGCCAACTGGATATCTCTTCCGCGAATTCACAAAGGGATATTCCGATATGACATCGGCAAACCTAAAAAACACCTCTCATTAAAATTGAGATTATAATCTTTTCTTAACTAGTTGTACCGTATTTGTTCTCCGGGCTCGCATTTATAATGCAACCGTGTCCCGTTGGTCCGGCCTCCATATAGAGCATCGCGAGGTTGAAGAGGTGCGTGAACATGAATATCTTTTATTGTTTCACGAAAATCCTCATCCTCTGCCAATTTCTGATCGTACTCGCTTTCCCAAATTTTAACAACAGAGTATCCCATTTGTTCAAGGGCGATTTCCCGCTGGACGGTTGCCACATGCAAATCCTCCATCGTTTGTTTGAGAACAGGATTTACAAATGTGCGTTTCGTGGTTGCGGGATTGCCGTGCCAGAAGTCGCCATAGAATTCGTAAATAATTTCCGCTTCTTCGTCATAGCCGTCCACGTAAAATTTTCCAATCTTCTGTTCTCTTGCAAGTGCTTTGCCTTCTGTCATTTCAATGTAGCACAACCATTTACCACATTTGACTGATTGCATGCGCTGACTAGGGTTTTTAACAATAGCAATAAGGTTTTTTTCCAATATCCGTGCGCGCCAGAAAAAATGGCATATACCCGCAATTGTTAGCGCGGAAGTAAATGGGCAAAGCCCACCTGAAATTCCCATAAAGAGCTTTCTGAATTCTTGAGAGCAAACGCGTAAGGTGTTAACATCCTGCTTGCAGTATTTGACGAGCTCCTCGTTGACATTGTACTTTCCTTTCTTTTTTCTCCGATCTTTTCGATAAAATCTTTGATAAAGTCTTTTCTTTCTTTGTTATTCATCAAGCTATAATTGAAATCCTCCCTTTTAGGATAGGGAATAATTTTGCCAAAATTTTCTGGGCGATTGACCGGATGAGGGAATTTACCCTTTTGCTCTGTCGCTCCAAACGCTTGAGCCCAAGCGTCTAACGATTGGGGATTGTAATTCAAAGTATCACGAAATTTTATGCCAAATTCAGGAACATCCAGTTGCATAATTTTTGAGCCGTTCATTATGAGCTTTGGAACTATCCCATTTCTTAGTAACCATTTTAGAACAAAAAAACCGTCGAACGCCCGAAGGTTGTGGGCCAAGACGTAGAAGTTTTTAAATGATCCAGAAAACAAAACTCGCAAAATTCTGTTGTTATATCCCGGCCAATATCGGACGAGTCGGCAGGAAAAATCCATTCCTGGCCGTTGTCGTTTTGAAGAACGGCCAGGTTCGGAATAAAACTGCCCGTTTCCGGACACGGGTAAGTCTCAAAATCGAAATAGAGAAACTGGGCTTGTTCATGCTTTTCGAGATCCTGGTCCGTCAGGACTTCGGGCTCAATGTAGCAAACATGGTCATTTGTTACGTGTTCTTTGCACACCGTGCAAAAAATCTCACCGCACACGTGGTCCGTCGTACGAAACGCTCTGGAGACAAATGATTGGCAAGATGGACAGACAAATAACGTTTGACATACCGTAATCCCGTTTTCTCCCGAGCCAGCAGCGCGATGATGATTGAAACACTCTTCACTGTAAAATGTTCTGCAGCAGTCCGAACAGTAAATTCTTTCTCCTCCAGGATTACATTCGAATCGCAGGCATTGTTTGCAACGGTATTGGCATCGATGGCGATTTTTATGATCGTATCCGCGATTGCAACGGTCGCACCAGTACGATGTTTTGAACCAAGCCGGCAGGCTTTTCAAGACATCAAAATGGTTACTATGATGTAGCAGACGAATTTTTTTTTCGGCATATTCGCCGGCATAGACGATCGTATTGAGGTGGTCGACACTCGTTATCAGGATTTGGTAGTCCGGTAAGGCCAGTTGAAACTGTTGAACGTCTTCCAAAGTATATTGTCGAAGATCCAGTCCTGCGTTAGCAATGAGTTCTTTAGCCATTTTGTCTGCAGCGTTCTGTCGGAAGCCGTACAGAGTTTTTTAGTGTGATACAAGCGTTCGTACAGCGGTATATTGTCATCTGCGAGGGCCTTAGCTATAACAAGCGCACGAGCCAAACAGAGGTTATCTGAATTACGAACAGGTATTACGCTCCTCATGGTCTCCAGCTTTTTGCGCAATAATAAAGGAACATCGTATCGACAGGATCCAGCGGGAAGGTTGGAATGGTGGATTTCCAGCTCAAAAGAATCATCCAGTACAAATTCTTGATTGGAATTGAGTACGCGGGAAACTTCTTTCATCAATCGCGCAACGGTTAGCTGATCACGACGAATGAAAGGTGTGTGAATAGGGTACGAGAGGTGACGGCTATGCAACTTGATTCTTACCCGCTCGTGATCTGGGATGTCAGTAAGGATTTCATTTAAAATTTCGTTCAAAATGGCTGTTATGACATCGGGAATCTCAGCAAAAGGAATATGACTGAGGCGATGAACTTTGCACGCAAATCTTTTACACGTCATCTGATAACGGCGATTGTAAAAATCGTTTATCGGTTTCAACACGAAAAGTTCTTTATATGAAGCGGGTCTTCGGTAACATCGTCATCATCAACAGCATTAGTATCGTTATCATTATTATTAGAATCAACTGAATCAGCAGCGTCAGCAGCTATGCGAGGCATTTTTGCAAGCAGAAAGGTCACAGCAACTGGTTCTTAATGACAGAAAAGTGTTCCTGACACTGCTTCACAAATTCTAACTCATCTGACTTTATATCAACACAATTTTTTATGGTATCGCCAGATCTGATACGTACAGACATGGCTGAGTCATCAGAGGCAGTCGTAGTACGGTTTTCATGAACAAAAGCTGCTTGGGTATTGGACGTGGTGTCGATAATGCACCAAGATAGGGTTTCCGGATGCGCATTGGCGGTGGAGGCGGAGACTGTTTTCTGGCGGTACTTTGCAAAAGCAGGCGTATTGGTCCATTCTACAATCTTTTCCAGAATATCCATTCCGACAACCAGTTCATTGCACCGCGTATTTTTATGGCGGGCAATAACGAACTGTACGTTGGATTTTTTATGCAACCGGTAAAAGCCATGAAAGGATTATTGGATCCTTTTCTGACAAAGATGCTATACGCATCGCGGTACTGTGAATAACTTCGGAAGGTCCGGTCGTCCCGTTTATCAGTAAAGGTCTGGTAGAGCCAGTCCACGGATTCAGCGTTTGCTAATCTGATACGCTTGGCAGGTGGCACGAGATGCTGGTCCCCAGAATCCGCTGGCGCTGCAGTAACAGTATCTACAAAATAAATAATGTAAATAATCAAAAAAAGAGTTAAGGATCAGGATAAGAAACTTACTTTTGACGATGATGGAAGTGCAGAGGTACTGGGTCCAGCAACTTCAGCAGTCGGAGATGTAGTGACAACAGAGAACGGAACGGAAAGCGGTGCTGTTGAAACCGACAGCGACTGATCTGTGATGGGTAATGGATCGGGAAGTTGTTGATCACCAGGTAGAGCTGTAGGTTGCTGCAGAGTGTTATGTGGCGACAGAATAATGTAGAGATGGCGCTGCTTGTAGTATTCGTAGCGGGCAATATATCCTTGCACTGGATCAATGCCTGCAATATATATATACCTTTGGAAAATAAGTTGCAATAACAAACAAAGCATAAGACTCGCTTTTTAAGTCTTCCAGGCGGCCATATAATGGTGTTAAACGGAATATCTGGTCACCCACTGCAACATGAAAATGAAACTTGAGGCGTATGTTGTTGCTGCTGCTGCTGGCACAGAAATAAAAATTGTGTAGATACCGTGGTGGCAGATTTCCGCACCAGTTGCTTCATCTATAAAATTAAAGAGTTTCTCAGCTATAAATTAAGTGAACGAGATGATAAAAACTTTTTAACCTTTAAAAATCGGCTGAATGGGTGGTGGAGACCACGGACTTGATTGAAGGTGTAGTTCTGGCTGTTGCTGTTGTTGCTGTTGTTGTTGTTGTTGCGTAACTACAACAAATTTATATTTCAACAACTGTACAAAAATTTTGCGTTTAATTATACCCAAAGTACTTGTTGTCGGAGTCGTAAGAACATTATAGTCCTGCAGCTGAATTTCCAGGTCACTTAAAACTTTATCCCAAAGAGCTTCGCCATCAAACGCATTAAGATCATCCATTATCCATTACGTTTAAAGAATCAACAACGAATGAAAGCAAGTAGAGAAAAAGGAAAGCAGAATAAAACTATTACAGTTATATAGTATCAGCAGAATGCAACTGCTACATTTTGCAGTGCAACATTTTGTCACACACAATTTTCCAGAACAGCAAAATGTATCAAGTAAAATAAAGTGACGTGACGGCTTCAACAGGCTGACGGCAGTACGGGCAGAGGCTTCCTCGGTCTAGGGTCGCTTTGGCGCACTGTCCGCACATGACCAAATGCTTACACGGACTGATCAGCGTGTTGGCATACCGCGACAGACAGATTTTACATTTCAACTGCTCAACGGTGCGGGCATCGTCTCCGACGGGTACTTCGGTGGCATAGTGCAAAAAATGCTTTTGCTCCAAAAAATCGGCGTTGTGGAACTCCACCGCTTCTTCCAATTCCTCCCAAAATAGAAACGGCCCTTCTTCTTGGCCTTAGCGGCATCAATTTGGTCTTGACTGAAGCCAACGAGCCGTGCTTTGTTTTCCAAAACTGTCATACCTACATATTATTATTATTATTAAAAATAAAAGTAACAAACAGATGAAACCCACCTTGTATTCCAATGTCGGTAACAGGGGACTTGCAAGCTCGTATAACATCGTTGATGAACCGTTTGCCTTTACATTCATCAGATATGCACAGGCTGGTGATTGGCGGGCATGTTCAATCCATGGTTCCAGATCCAGCGGCAATCCAGAAATGAAGACATAGCAGTAAAACAGCGTACAGCATCCGGGCATACCGAAACTCCCGGCACAGTAAGACCTGCGTAATAATAAAACTCCATTGTCCTGTAACAACGGCGACCGGAAGCGCGAAGCGCTCCGGTCGACGTTGTTTACCGCGTCCGACACATTAGCCAAATGTGTCGGCAGCGAGCAACGGGGCCCCCCACCCCTTCGCCTGGTTTAACTGTTCGACCAGCAATCGTGAGTTGTTTTTCTTGTCAACTTGATAGCCAAAGAATGTTTTGTTGTAAAGCTCACCGCAGTTGTAGAATCCAGCTTCGGCCAGCTTGTACACCAAGTGTTTTTTTCTTCGGGCCACGGTCTGTCGTCAAGGAAAACGCCCGCGCATACATGGTGTTATACTTTGCGCAGTCGGGATTGTTTGGTGGTGAATGGTTGTACTCAATGTTGTCCTGATCGTAATCCATCCGCAGCCCGTTGCATTCCACCCACATCTGTGGAAGTTATCTTTAACTGCTTTGCCAAAGCATGGATTCTTGCACGGTGTTCGATAGATGCCCGTTAGACATGTCCCCTCAATCTCACAGCAGTAAACACAACGGATCTGGTGCTGGATCCCCGTGCAGTACCAGCCCAGTTCGGCGTACTCTTTCGCCACTTCGAGGGTAATTTTACCCCCACAACCACGAAATGTTTCAATGCGATTCTCAACACTTTCGGCTGGATAGCGCGGATCCCCACGAGGGCCAAAAGCACTTGCAAAACCGTCCATTGTTCTGTTAGCGTGTAGCCGTGCGTGCGTGCGTGTGTGCTCTGCTCTACGGTTTATAAAGCCCAGTGTGAACAACAAAATGCTGAGCAACAAATTGCTGAACCGGATTTTGTGGTCAGGGTGTTTAGTGTATTTGATTATTATAAATACAGGCTTCTAATTCCAACTCGTTTTCATTATTCTTCCTGACACTTTTAGTTAGTCTACCTTTTCTTCTGATATACCATGACTAGTCTGCCTCCTTCCAAACGCGGTTTCGTACCCGATAAAACTGATCTTGTCGGGGAAGCAAAGCGCAGTTTGCGAGCGGAAAGATCGCTTTCCACTATGAAGGATTCCCTACCATGAAGTTCGGGTACGACAAGTTCATCTGCACCCGCATCAACAGTGACACCCAGGCCTTGGAGTTCATAATTGGCGACTTTACGACTGCCAGTCCTCCTGGACCAGATGCGAAATGGACGCTGGGAGAGAAACACATTTTTCTCACCAACGACCAGTTCATGCGCCTCGTTGGACTCATCTACAACAACATTACGACTTTAATCCGGGATCCACAGCTAACCAGCGGTAACCTGTCCACCCTGTTTCACCTCGGAAACGACGTCTATTTTGTGTGGTCAAGCTATGACAGTGTAGCGCTGGCCAATATCCGCCAGTTCTGCAAGAGAGGCAACGGCGACATGCAGGCCACCAAGAATGGTGTTTCTTTGGGATAAAATCGTTTGAATCACTTCGTACCACCATCCAAGACCTGTCAATGTTCAAGGACATCAATGCTTTGTTGAAAGCACGTGGCTCGCTAGTGATTCACAACGAACCAACGGCAGCGGATTTTTCAAGCCTGTTGGCTGGCCTACCGTTCACCATGTATGGTATGTGGCTTGACCGTCTGCACGAGAACTGTGCACGTTGCGGGAAATGGTCACGTTGTTTACACAACCAACTGTTCGTGAAGCCAGCCATGCCTGTGAATGGGGATTGGGTACACTGAATCTAACGGATGAAATGATGAACGACATCATTACTGAGCTTGGAAATGGCAAACGTCTCATTGGCATGATGTTGTTACTGCGTCCTTGGGGCCAGCTTACCGGATTTGACGACATTTTGGGTTTTAACGCCAAACAGTTTTTGGACCAGCATAAGGATACCCTGTGGGAGTCTGTCAAGCGTATTGCTATGGAGAAGCTGAAGATTACGGAGATTGAGACGGGAAGATGAAACTGCCTATCGAAATCAACAAGGCCCAGGAAGGAAACAGCGGCAACGGTGGTGAAGACGGTGGTGTCTAAAGCGACGGAATCGTTTGCGTTTTGTGTTACGGTAAAGCATGTCTGTGTTACCATAAAAATGTGAAATGTAAACGCTAAAAAAAGTGCTGATTGCTTCTACTTCTACCTCAGGGACATAAAATGTGAAATGTAAAACCCAAAAAATTTGCTGCTTTTTTATTTTATTCAAGCTCTGCATACATTGCTGTGTTCATGTTAAAGTGATTGTTTACCCATTGACAAACCATTGCATCATTGTTTGCGTAATTTTTTGTGAAATAATGAATAATGTCTCTATATGATTCTCCGCTTGCGCGCTTATAAAAAAAAATGCAAAATTGACCGCAGACTGTCGAAAACGTTTGTTGTATACGTTCCATTTGATAAACAACATGTAAATCAGTTAACCATTCTCTAATCTCGTCAAAATACTCCACAGATCGTCCGTATGAGTCGAAAACTCGATGGATGACGGCTCGCTTTGATAGAATGCTAACCAGTGTTCACCAGAACCACTGGATTTGTCCGTGTTGACGATGTAGGCGGCAGGTAAAACATTGGAGCGTTCGGGAAGTGTATCCCGGGCATAAACTCCTCGAAATATCCTCTCCGTTTTGGATTTTGGCAAAGTATCTTTGTCATTGTTCGATTATCCATTTTAGTTAGTTGGTAAAGTCACAAATTAGCTGACGAAAATTGTTAATTTCTATTACCGCGTCAAACGTAAGAAATGTGACCATGATCGTGGGCTGCTTGAGCGGTTGGTTGAAGACTACTCGGATGCCTAAATTACCCTG